TGGATTTAAAATCTTAAGAATAAATACACTTTTCTGCATGAAGAAAAGTAATTTTCTTGTATTACTGTAGAACTGGTAGAATTTACAACAGATATGAATTCATCATGGTGATGATTTGTAGGATAAAAGAATATGGCAACTATACTTCACACTAATTTCAACACATGATTTAGGAACAAGACCCCAAGCTTTAAAAAACAGGATCTCTAAGCCAAAAACATCAATTTCAACATTATACTACAATAACATTTGGGGATTCCCACATGGCAATCTGATACCTTGGTTTTGTTTCAAGAACAAATTTAGAGGTGACTTTGATAGCTTAAGCATGTACTTTTTATATCTCAAAATACATAAATTTTTACACTGAAGTACGTGTGTGTGTATATACACGTTATTAGAGTCCCTGTAATAAACCTTAGGGAAGTGATTATATAATATAAATACCAACAGAAAATTGAAGCGTCAGTCCCAAAATACATTTTAAAACTGGTATACACCAAGGTGGCAAGCTTGTACTTGTTTGAGGAAAAAACCAGTTTTGTTCTTGTTAATGGGTCCTCTGGCTCAAAAATCGAAACCAGGCCAGGCTATTCTAGATTTAAAGTCACAACATTTGATGTAGCCCAGTGTTACAAAGGTTCAAAAAGTCAAAGGAACTTTTCATCCTGACTAAACTCTGAAAAGGATTTAAACACCAAATTTTAACCACTAACGGTTTAAGATTGGAAGATAGGAAGAAAGTTTTATCATCATTACCAATGAGCACTAGACTGAAAATACCTCACTTGCTCATACTTGTTAACAGTTTTTAAACGGATGTTTGACACACCCTGGGTTTCACTCCTTAACTACCATGCAGATCACTCTGTCTGCTCACTGCAACAGTCTGTATGAGTCCCAACAAACGCCGCGTTCACAGCAGACAGGGAACAAGGCAGGTGCTGGCCCACGTCGAGCCCTCACTCAACCCCTCACTGTAAGGATGCTGCCTTTGATGAGCACATGCCAACCCTCAGATTCAAGAAGGCAGTATTTTACACCGAACTATTCATATGCAGAGCCAAATGAGCTCGACTGACAGGTTGAGTTTAGAACAGAAGCTATAAGATTTTCCACAACGGGAAATTCCCTAGCCTAAAAAACGCCCTCTCCTGAGACTTCGCAGTAAGGTTTGTATTAAAGGATCACCATGTTGAAGCCATTTCCATTCGTTTTCACCATATCAGAGCCATCAAGCCGCTAACTCCAGAGTTGTAACACACTGCCCCTTCCTGCTCAGAGCTATGTGGAGCACACAGAAATGGTTCCTCCCTTGCCTCTACTGGTTAGCAGGCGGGACTGTGGGGTTCCGGGCCTCTTGGTCTGCTAGTAGAAGCTTTGGGTGAAGAGATGACTTCCCCCTGGATACTGAGATGCTGATCTCCACACAGAGAGGTCCACAAGCTACAGCTTTCAATCTACAAAGTTCTTCGGGTTCAGAATGCTGGTTAAACAAAGGTCAAGGAGAGAAAAGTTAGTTTCTGAGGAGGCAACATCCTAATCCTTGCAGCTCCCTAAAAAGAAGGAGAAGAGCTAAGGCAGGGGTGCAGGACATTGGTGGGACGTCCCCAAAAGCTACATATGATGTGCTGCCACAATCTTCCTCTGGCCTGGCAGCATCTGGTTTATCTAAACTGTGGCAAATTTAGAGAATGTTGGGATGATCTTACTTTGAAAGGAATTAGACCATCTAATGCAGGGGTTGGCAAACTTTTTCCATAAAGGGCCAGATGGTAAATATTTTAGGCTTTGCGGGCCATATGGTCTCTGCCGTAATTACTCAATTCTGCTGGTAAGCCAAAAACAGCTACAGATAAAATGGAAGCCAATGGGCGTGGCTGTGTTCCGATAAAACTTTACGTACAGACAGGCGGGTCAGATTTAGCCCAGGGACCACAGTTTGCTGACCCTAAATCTAGAGAGCTGAATGCAGTCAACAGCAAAAGCTGGCTCCAAACCTTAACTGTAAAAACAGAGATTTCATGAAACCACAGTGCTTTATTCTAACATTTCCTCAGAATCTTTCTATCTTCCAGAATCACTGGTCTTTTTTGAGTTAAGTAGGAATCCCTCCAACTGCATTAGTAATATAAAATATTGAAAATTTAAAATAGACCTCGAGTGTCACTTAACAGCCGGGGGAGGAAGACGAAAAGGAAAATTCTGCTTAGAGGCCACTGCAAAGGGGGCAGTGTCCTAGCATGACCCTGAAGCTCCTCAAGGAAAGGTGTCTCCTCTCACCACCTGACCGTCCCCTTCCACAAGAGAGGGCCTCATGATTGGCAATTCCAACAATACAGTGCCTTGTGAGGAATTACAAAAAGAATCACTAGAAGCACCAGATTTGTAAACCAGCCTTTGTAAAGCAAATTAGGTTACCTATGTTTTCAGTCGTGGAGTCATCAATCTCACAATAAATACTGATATGTTCTGTTCCAGCCCACTCTGCTTCAAAGAGAGCAGACACTCACAAGGCTAAAGATTGAACAGTTAATACACAGAAAATGGGCTCCCTTGAGTGGCAAAAGGAAAGTGAATGCCAGCACCACGAAAGCTTTGATAGAAGATGACTCCTGAATGCTCAGAAGTCCTGGAAATGAAGACACCTGATTTCACTCTGCATTCAGCTATTTCATTTGAAATGGGCAGAAATAAAGCAGTGATAGCAATTTATAAATTGGCATGTTTCATAGCTCAGTAGAAGGAAGGGCTTTATCTAGAAGCCACAGCCTCCTTGGGCAAGGACACTTTCTAAGGCAGCCACGCAGGATATAAAAGCTAAGTTAGTTACGACCAAAAGCCACATGTCTATCTTCAGCCTCTTCTTTAAGCCTGACACCACTGCTGCAGAGTTGAAGTTATTTGCAAGGATTTGATTGCCTGGAATGTTCAGTACGATATTATTTCAAAAATTAAGAATACTGATCTTCAGCACTCACCTAGACTTAGTGGAGAGGGGAATTGGGGTGAGGTGGCAGTGCTAAAGGCAATTTCTGAGGGAAATTTCGAGCTGGGGAAATAGTAGGGGGTGTCAATAGGAAGAGCTGGTTGCCCTAAGACCTTCCTCAATATCCTTTCTATCCTGAGCTTTACAATTTGCTGCCGTATCCAACTGGACCACAGACACTTCCTTGCAGTGTCCACAAAATAGATAATGGACGTCAGGAAGGAAAAGTCTTCAAGGGGATGTGGGAGCTTTAAATAGGCACCGAGTTTTCTCAAGGAGGTTCGAGGTTCATTCTGATCAACAACACATTTCTCCTCAATGCTTCAGAATCTCCTTCTCCTTTTCAATCATGATTAAATACCCAACAAAACAGAGCTCTATGTATATTCTGGACCAGTTCTATTAGTCCTGTATTACAATGTCATAAGCCTGATGTTACAAATCTTTAGCAGAGCACTAGCCAATATCCAAAGGTCTGCTATCCAATGTCAGACAGAGCAAACTTTGAACATTAATGCAGAAAATCACCAGTAGTCACAAATCTTACTAATTAAAGGAAAAAACTGTCTAGCCAGAAGATTAAGGGGATGAGATCTTTTAGCTAATTTTCTGGTTAACTGAGTGTTAAATAAAAAGAGATATTTTACTTATGTCTTTAAGTCCTTATTTTTTCTTAATTATTCTACATTGTGTAGGTCCACACACTCACATAATAGTAGTCAATGCAATCAACACAACATATTGTTTCTTGGGTGACTGAGGATCTAGCTATTATTTTTAACATAGCATCATACGTTTTTATATCAGAATTTACCCCGATACAGTTCAGCAAATTGGACTGAACATATTCTGATTCCAGGATGAGGTCTGAGAGTTGATTTTAAATCAATCTCTTTTCATTTTTAAAAAAATTCTACCTGCTTTTTTGCCTTAATAGGCAAGTGGGGTCAAAATTTCGCTCTGGGACTGCAGCTCGTTAGATTTTATTCTCTGTCCTATAAAATACCTGATCCTCTGAGAATGTGTTTACTTCCTGTGCTTGCCCTGATGATGCCAGGGAATGTTCCTGGAGGTTCAAGAAGAGGTCATTGGAAATTAAGACAGAGAGGAGAGAGTGCAGCAGATACACAAAGGGGCAAGGAGAGGAAGCCTAAGAAAGAAAAGGCCGACAAAGGGGAGGCGCACTGTGGGAGCTGTGAGGGGTCAAAAGAACAGAGGGAACTTGCCAGAAGACAGCTGAATGCAAGTCCACTTTTTGTCTCTGTAAATTCATCTGAAGATGCATATCCTTACTCAAAGGAGTTGGTTCTTACCAAGTAAGATATTGATGCTAATGGACCAAAACAAAAATTAAGAGTAAAATCACATGGAGAGTTATTGTGCAAGCATCTGCTTTGCTGTTGTTTCTTTAACAGCCCGTGATGCTTAGGGGAGGACACCTCCTCGAGCCACCTACCTCGTGATGGCCACGGTGGTTAAACATTGGCAATTAAGAGGGTTAATTTAGAGCTTAAGACAAGGACTAATTCTCCAACTTTATAAAGAAATAACATCCCGTTCCCAAAGAAAAATGATATTCTCAGTGACCAGCTGAAACCTGCAGTCTCTGTTGTTCCAAAGTCATGATGCATTGTTGTTCCCAATATTCCATTACCAATCAATTTTGGCTTGAATAACCCAGGTAATTGGAATACGTCCGTACACAACACAGACCAGGTCAGAAACCCTTAGACGGAGCCTGTTGTCTCTAATCTCTGAATACCAAAATAGCCACAATCTTTTGCTGAGTGTTCAGCTTTCAGAGAACTCAAGGTCGGCCCCCACACAGGCTTCCACGATAACACTGGGATTTAAAAAGAGGCCAGGATTTTAATGAAAGGACAGCTGAAAAGGCTATAAATACATTTTTAAATTAGAGAATCACTATATAAAATTTCATTATAGTTAGATTCAAGTGGATTTCAGTATAGCAGTGACAAATAATAATAATAAGTGGAAGTTAATGGCCTACCTATTCCTGAATTAGCTCCAGTCACCACGACCACTTTGCCAGTGAAATCCCGGCCCTGGAGTATTTCCATGGCGGTAGTGCTGGCATCATATCTTTGTCTGGTGGTGGGCCTTGTAGGATTTTCATCCACAGTAAAGGCCAGTCTCGGGTCCAAATAGGTAGTTCTTTTGTTTATATGGCTGCAAAGAAAAGGAGAATGCAGTGAGCCCACAGCAGTGGACACAGGCATTTATAAATAAAAGATAATCTTATACTTTAGGTTGGGCAAACCCAATTTTTCATGTACTAAAACGGCTTACTCTTAACCCTGGAAAGAACAGGGTCCATTTAGTGTATCTTCTGGCCTCCAGAAGGATAACATTCCTACCTAGAAAGATAGCCATCGAATCCTTCCTTTCAGAACTGCCTGTGAAATACACTGTAACATACAATAAGTACTGCCTGTACCCTTAGATTGCAAAAGAGAAGGTTTTGTTTTTTTTAAAATTCATGTAAAGGTGGCTATAAGATCTGTCAGTCACTCTTTTCAGTAGATTTCAATTAAATCTCTTAGCCCTGTACAAGGGCATAAGAAGACTGGTAGAGAAGGAGAAAATTCAAAATGATAGAAGTCTTAGTAGTAAATATGAAACTAGTCAACTATCAAAATTTTCATATTGTTCATGTTAACACCGTATTCATACCACCTATGACCACTCTAACGTCGATTTGGAGTTGATCTAAATCTCGTAGAAACAATATTAAAATATATTGGTACGTATGGATTAATAGGTTACTCCTTATAGAATTTATTTTTACATTTTAAGTGTCTTCTTGGGATTTGAGATAAGAACCTCAAAATATCTTAAAAACTATTAAGAACTCTCCAGAAGGAAACAGATGAGATTTCATGATTTAAAATGTATTTTTAGTTTGTGTGTGTGTGTGTAAAATTATATATAGTTTAAAATCTATACTTATCATGCTATAAATACTAAGACCCAAGAATAATCCAACTTTCATTTGAATTATAACCATAGCTGCCAGATAAGCATTTTGACTCCAACGTTATACACAGAAGACAGGGCGGTGCTGTGCTGAAGCCAGCTCACACTGGCTTGCAAGAGCCAAATGTGCATTTCCCTTCCCCCCTCCTCAGTGACTTCACCTTAGTACCTTGAAATAGGCTATGGTGAGAGTATTTGCACCATGGAAACAAATCTGGGATTGTTCCCCTAGAGAGCTGATTGTTAGACATTTACCAGCATACCACTGTACCAGGCTCGGAAGGGTGAGCCGACTAGCCAGGGCAGCAAATGCCACCTGCCTCCCTTGGGGCATTGTGGGGACTGAATAAGCTAATACTACAGGTACAAGGGGATCATAATCATGCCTGGCTCAAGCCATGTGCGAGACAGGTGGTTACTTCTGTTGTTTGTTATTGGAATTTATTCTAAAGACAGTTTTACACACAAAGATGCTCAAAACATTATTTACAATTATAGATGCCCAATAATAGGAACTTAACAACATCAGTGCCCAATAGGTAATTTGATAAACTATGGCATATCTATACAAAATAACACTGCATAGTTGTTAAACATCATCTTCTTGAAAAATATTTAAGGATATGAGAAAATGGTCATAAGATTTTATACAGAAAAGAACAGGTTACTAAATAGTTCACAAAGTACATTCCCTACAATTTTTTTTTAAAGAAAAGCACGTGTATAGAAAACAGACTGGAAGAATAAATCCAAAAATTGTTAAAAGTAGTTATTCCTGCTGATAAGATTACAGTTATGTATTATGCCATAGTTTTGTACAATGTATATTACTTATACAAAAAATTCCTATTAAAAAGCAAAATGGCTGAGAATAGTTTCTATGTAGATACTTACTCGACAAAAAACACCTGCCCGTTCTCATCAGTTTCTTGTTCCCATCCATACGGCAAATCTGAAACACAGTGAAGATTGACAGTCCACAAGCGGCAAGGGTCGGGGGAACGGACGCCCAGTCCCCTACGCCCTCCCGCCCCTTCCCCCTAAACCCAGGCCACCAGCCCCACAGCCATCGGTCTGCCACTCTCAGGTCATGTGTTCCAATCGTGGCAGCTGCAGAAGGCCCATTACCCCAACCCAACTCCACATTTCTGCCTCCTGCTTCGAAAGAAAACCCTTTCATTCTTGAGCATTCTTAAATGCTCCAATCAGCTCCTGCTTTTGACAAGAACCTTACTAGTTGCTGCAGTCAACATGAGTTCTCCCTTGAATGGACTTACAGAACGCATCCACACGTCGAGCAGGCACCCAACACCATTTGTGTGCTGGCTCACAAGGACTCTTATAAGACATGATGGAGCTGTTTCATTTTTTCCCTGCGCACATGTTGTCTTTGAACTAGACCCTAAACCTCCTGAGGGCAGGGACCTTCTTATACTTCTATTCTGTGGATCACACCCTGACCTGGAGGCACCTACAAGTCACAGTGATCTTTATGGAATTCCATAAACCTGGTACATTTAACTCCTCATAGGAACCAAGAACAACTTCACAAACAGTGCAACTACAGGAAAACCTAACAAACTGTGAGTCAAAGGCCCCTACTATTTTAATACTTTCTTATTCAAAAAATCATCCTCACCACTCCACCCCAAGTCTCATCACCTCCTTCTGCCAAATCCTATAAGCTCCTCAGAGTGAGAGTCCAGTTCCTTGATGGTTCCCTCTTAGAGAGCCGTCCCAGAGTGACAGTGACCTTCACCCCTCTGCCTGTAACATTTTCCTGTCTAGCTAATGCCTTAAATACAGTTTCTTTGCTTTATGACAACACCATACAAACCTCCTGCTATTCGTTTTCTTTTTCCCGTTTTCGGATGTTCCCACTGAGTCTTCTCCTCAGTGTGACTGTTAAAAAAAAATCCACAAAACAATAATAAGTAAAAGTTACACTTCTAAGAATTAATCATCTACAGTAAATTTGTGTCTCTTCCAAATACTACTACACTCAAGAGTAGTAAAGCCAGACATTCAGAAAGAAATAGTCAGAAGATAAATGTGACTGTTTGCGTCAGGTCAAACTCGCTGGGTTGGAAGGAGAAGCAATCATGGAAAGCTCCTTTATAAGCCAGCTGTGGAGGAGGCGGGGGTAGGGGGCACGTGCAGGAAGCTGCCAGGACCCCAGGTGCGGGTCAGCTTCAGGAAGCTCGCTGAATCACTCTAAATATCTAGCCAGGGCAGCGAATGCCACCTTTGTTTTGCTTTATCTTTGTTTTAGTCTTATTCCAGGATAGATGGACAAACTTCCACCTAATTTATAATCCTGATATTTAGATATCATTAGACAAAACATTAATTTTCTTAAATGTTTATTCTTTCCACAGCTATAACTACAAAGTGTTTTTTAAGCACTGATTCCTAATTGCTCCCACTAAGAACGCAGTAACACAATCCCATTGGTCACCTAGCTGTGTACCTTTGGTCAAGTTACTCAACCTCAGAGCCCCAATTTCCTCATCTGCAAAAAGGAAACAATCCTAGTCCTGATCTCAGGGGGATGTTATGAGGATGTTGTATATAAAAGGTTGAATACACTACCTGGCATATAAAAAGCCCTAAAGTGCTAGCTATTATTTTAAACAAATCAAAATACAAACTAGTCTGATTTCTACGCCAAACTTAGCATTTTATCTCAGAAGAACACACAAAGTTATAATTAAAATCGTGAGCCAGTAACAGACTAGAGACATCTGTCAACAGGTGATAAAGTATCAAGGAAACATAAAATTACTTCATCAGGGAAACAGCTGGATGTTGCAAGAGGCATTCAAAAAGGAGGCTGATTTCCTAAAAGTTCATATACTCATGCCAAAGTAGAAAATAATATTTAATCACTGACATCTAGATGATAAAATTTGAATATGCCTTCCCTATCAATTATTTTAAAGAGAATAAATATAGAGAGCAGGAATTTCCTGTAAAATTTTGCAATTTTTTTTGGAAAGGAAAAAAGGAACTGCTGGTTTCTGGTCTGTTTTTGCAAACTCTCAGTGGCTGGGGCAGGGCCACCGTGGACACTGGACTCAGGAGGCTGCAGACCTGAGCCCCCGTACTGCCTGTGTTCCATGAGCCAGTCTCCCCAGCACCACACCCACCTCATGCAGCTCTTGGAAAGGTAAGAGACAGCATACCTGTGAGAGTGATTGGTGACTGGTTAAATTATTGTAGAAACACAGGGTACCAGCAGCAAGGTCAAACTCCTACTTCTACCTCAACCACCATCAAATCCTACTTGCAAAAGGGAAGCCCTTATCCCTAGTAAGGACACCTGCTCCTCCACAACACGACTCCTGCTTCTCCTGACAAACCAAAGGGAAGAGCGATCAGATAAACCAGGCATTGGCAATGACACACAGCGTTCCTGCTCCTTCCTTTGCAGTGCCTCATGCTTCTTCAAGGATGTTTACAGGTGTGATTATATATCCTCTGGCTGACATTAAAAGTAGTTTTCACCCCACAGCAACGCATCAAATGAGCTAAGAGCTGAGCTCCAAAAACACCTGCCTTCAAGAATCTACAAAGTGGCCCCCGTGACCGGCAGGCTGACACTCTGCCGCAGGCATGCTGGTGAGTAAAGGACACCCCAGGCCTGTGTCCAGGGTTCCTTACCCTCAGCACTCCAGACACATGGGGCCAGGTGTGGGGGCTATCCTGTGCATGTTAAGATCATCAGAGCATCCCTGGTCTCCAGCTATGAGATGCCAACATAGCACTCCCCAGAGCTGTGGCCACAGAAAGAATCTCCAGAGACTGCCAACCATCCCCTGCAGGGCACAGTGTCCCTGGGGCACAATCCCAGGCCTAAGTGAAGCGAAGAAAGCGTAATTTGGTAGCAAGGATTCCAGAACCTGACGCCCACGTTTTCTGGGTCTTCCATCATGAGTATGTGCCCTTAAAGAAGTTATTTAACCTCCCCATGCCTCAGTTTCCCCATCAGTAACATGGGGATAATGACAGCACCTAATTCTTGGGGTTACAGAGGACTGAATGAGTTAACATGTTTGAGGAACCAAGAACTGTGCCTTTCACACAGAAGCATTATTTTAAATAAAAACATATACAAAAATTAATTAAAAGGTGTTCTTTTTAATTGTAACCTAAAATGAATTTTTAATGAACAGAAAATTATAACACATGTCCCCAAAGTGTTATCTTATTTCCCCTTAAATAGAGGCCCTCTTTTATTTTTTCCTTTCTTTCAATAAGCTTTCTGTCATTTAAAGAGATAATTAACAGTGATCTTAATTTAAACCAACGGGATCAAAATTAAATTCATACCACATTACACGGATATGACTTTCAAGATTGCTCCTCTTAAGATTTCTTCTTCTTCTTTTCTTTTGGGGCAGGAGGGGTGAGGAAGATTTGCTCTGAGCTAACATCTGTTGCCAATCTTCCTTTTTTTTTGCTTGAGGAAGATTAGCCCTGAGCTAAATCTATGCCAATCTTCCTCTATTTTTTGTATGTGGGATGCCGCCACAACATAGCCAACAAGTGGTGTACGGCTGCACCCAGGATCTGAACCTGCAAACCTGGGCCTCTGAAGCAGAGCACACCAGACTTAACCACTATGCCACGGGGCCACCTCCTCTTCTTTTTTTCAACGCATAGTTTCTTTAAGTTAACTGGGAGATCCAGAGCCAAATGTGAAGAGAGCCGGCCTTATGGAAAGGGAACCATCTCCCCACAGGACAAGGCCAGCCAGCCCTCTGGCTGCCCAAAGGCCTGGGCTTCAGAAGCAAAGGGGGATGGGAGTGGAGGACCCAGGATAGCACAGCTGACTGCAGTGACAGCCCTGGCACTAAGACCTTGTCCTTCTGTTCCATCTCCTGGTCTAGGTAGAGGGGCTGCTCTGGACTGTGCCAGGGAGGGGAGACAGGCCCACTAGCTCTCCCTGGTGACAGGTTCCTCCACAGCTGGAACATCCTCTCCCTGGTTCCAGCTTGGTGGGCCCTGGAGCCATATGATGTGTGTGCTTTTGAGTTCTATGAGTGCAGTGCGGGGCACGAGGGGAAGCATGAGGAGCCAAAAAAACCCAAATAATAGGGGTAGGCAAGGCTATGAGGGGATCCACAAGATCCCAGAGGTCTCACTCAGGGCTACTGCCTGTCTCCTTGGGCCTGGCCCTGCTGCAATGGAAGACAATTTGGAAAAAGGAGTGACCTGAAGGGTAATCTTCTGAAAGCCCACTAGCAAAGTTTCCCAAGCCCCAAGAGGACAAGTGTGCCTTCTAGAGGTAGGAGGGTGAAGAAGAGCCAGGATGCTTGCAGGTCAGGCGAGATCAAGGAAGACTGCTGGGAATCCAGGGTTAGGATCGGTCAGAGGCATCTTTCAGCTCCAAGAGCCAAGGAACAGAGGGCCAGCAGAGAGGTACCCCCCAGCTGGGAGCCAGCGAGGCCTTGTCACCACAGCGTAAACAACGGGGCCAGACAGTCCAGTTTGAGATCTAAAACACTGGTTGAGGGGAGCTTTTTGGAGGCAGTACATGCACCACTGAGTCCCCTGGCCATGGGCTCCTCCAAAGCTCTCAGACAAGCTGGCTGGGGTGTACAGACCTTTTTGAGTGAAAGAAGAGCCCCGAGCCCAAACTCTGGACGCTGTGTAGGCAGGAAGCAGGTGGGAAAGGTGGTTCAACATAAGGCACAGCGGGAACAAGCCAGGGTGAGCTGCACAGGCAGCCTCCAGACCTAATGCCAGGCTCCAGGAAAACCTGAAGGGAAGCCAGGGAGCCTCTGGGGCAAGTGGCCTGAACAAGAATAGGCCCCACAGAACAGAAGGCAGAAAAGGGCTCCAACAGCCAGGAAGTGGGTCGTGCGCACCTCTGTGTTCCTGGGGCCTAGTGTGCCACCTGCTCACGGAGGCCTGCAGTAAATCTTCACTAGATAAGCTAACTTACTCATTCTGCATGGATTTATTTTACGGCTGCTGGGTGCTAAGTGCTGGGGATACAGAGGTGAACAAGAAAAGGTCCCCGCCCTCATGAAGTTTACAATCCGGGGGAGGCAGAAAGAGAGAGAGAGCAAACCAGGAAGAGGATGGATAAGACAAGGACAGACAAGACAACAAGGTGGGTGCAAGGCAAGCTCCCCTGGGCTGTGATGCTGAAGCTCACTCCGAGGGACGACAAAGCCCTTCACACAAAGATCTCCAGGCAGAGGAACAGCAAGTGCTCGTTCAGGAGCTGCCTGCAGCCTGCAGCCTAACGACTCCCTGCTGAATTGTCCCTTCAATTCTCCAGAGCAGAAATTATCTTTCTAGACACAAACCTGATGTCACTCCCTGGCTCCAAATCTTCAGTGGACTCCTGAGTCCTGACGAAAGACCCCAGCTCCTCCAAGGGGCAGAAGCACCTCCATAAACTGGGTCCTTCCTCCCCTGCCTCAATCTTCACATCCCTGCACCACCACATGGGCCAGGCCCCGGGCCTCTGTTCTGTCTCCTCTACCTGGGCACCCTCCTGCCCCCTTGACCCGCCCACTTCAACTGGTGCTCTAAGGCACAGCTCAGGTGCCAGCTGTGACAGGTCATCTCACCCACTCACCCACATACCTCATGGAGACAGGCTGCTGCTCACTACAAACACTGCCAGGAAAACCTATGTGTCACTCCAGCCTATAAGTCTGGGCACTCACTAAGGGTGACAACTGGGTCTTATTCATCTCAAAATAACCAGCGCCCAGCAAACAGCCCAACAGGTGATAAGATCCCAATGCGTCTTGAATGAATTAACTCACCAAGGTTTTTGTTTTCTGTTTTTCTTTCTACCAAGCCACCAGCACTGGTTCACAACCTTGGGTTGTGACCCCTGGGAAGATCTTATACCAATGCGGGGACAGGGACCAATTAAATGAGACTCTCTGGAGGTGGGACCCAGGAACAGATATTTTTTATGTTTTCCAGATGTTGCAAATCACTGATTTACATCCATGTTTTTCAAAGACAAGTGATAACCTGCCCCATCTGAAAAGCCCAAAAAAATAGATTCCCCACACTGGGTGTCTGCTGTGTGAGGGTCTCTGTGGAGACCTGAAATCTGCATTTATAACAGTCCCCGGGTGATTCTGCTATCAAGCCTAGGAGGTGCTGTCACAGCTGCAGAGACAGCAGAAAGGCCGATAGTTACTGAGCAGAGTACTTATTAGACCTGTGCTAAGTGCTTTATGTACAGTGCCTGAACTAAAACTCCATCAGCCCATTTTACAGATGAGAAAACTGAGCGTTCCTCCACTGGCCCACGGTCACACAGGAAGTGATGGCAGAAACGGTCTGCTGGTGTTTCCAAAACACTCCCAGAAACTATAGTGAAGCTGTATTTTACGTATATACGCTCGCATATATATGTATTTATACGTAGCTATATTACGACATCTGTTAACAGTACATACTCCTAGGTCCCCACTTCAGAGCCCCGAGGACGGAGCTGGGCGTCAGTATTTTTTTCTGACTTTTTTGGGGCAGCGGGGAGAAGGGGATAAGGGCGGCTTGCTATCACTGCACCGTGCAGAGCCGCCTCCTGAACAGCAGAGGGCGAGCCTGGGCGCTGCCAGGCGACCCCGGCATGACCCAGGGCCCAGGGGGCCGGCTCCTCCGCAGGACCCTGGAAGCCTTCCGTCTGAAGCTCTTTAGCAATCACCCCGCTTCGCCCGCCCGCGCCCCTCCCTGCGCAGGGGGCGTCCGAGGGCAGCGCAGGGTCCCCGCACGTGACGGCGCCAGGTTCCAGGTGCGTCCCACTCCAGGTGTCCCAGGCCCGGCGGCCCCCCTGCGGCCCCCCTGCTGCCCCCTTACTTGGCATAGTAAACCCAGCCGTCCTTGGTGGTTCTCTGCTCCCAGCACGGGGGCAGCTCGTCCTCGCTGTCCGTGTCGTCCAGGCCCGAGTAGCGCAGGGCTGCCATGGCGGCAAAGCTCGGTCACTCGCTCACTCGCTCGCCCGCTGCCGGTCTCGGCGCCCAGGAAACTCACTCCCGCTTCAACCGAGCGCCCCGCGTCTGGACCCAACCGCTCGCGCCTGCGCACTGCGCCGCGCCGAGCCGCTCAGCAGACTCGGTAGCCGTAATCCAGGCTCCGGAGTTTCACAGCTGCCAGCGTAAAAGGGGGCGAGGCCTGAGAAAGAAGGCGGTGAAAGCGCCGACGAGGTCACACTCCCACTCGGCTAGAAGTAAAAGCCGGGGGACTTTCTATGGCTCTGGCGATGGAGCTGAGCTTCGTCAACCTCCCAGCCGCAGGGAAGGGGCGTGGACGTCCAGTCACTATCCAGGACTCCGCCCGTTGCTGGGCGACCTGTAATCACTTCCGCATTGTTCTGCCCAATCCTGCGGGAGCTCCAGCAGTGGGGCATCTTGGGAAATGTAGTCCAGGCCCAGCCGGACTAGATGATGGAGCAGAAAGGAGGGACGCGGACGGTGGATTTCTGGGCTCTAACCTCTCCTTGTTTTAGGGTATTATGAAGAGTGAACGTTCCTGCTCACAAACCTTGCAGAGTTTCCATCACCGAAGGTGATTCGCACAGTGTGTTGTGCTTGTAAACACATTATAAATCGTGGGGAACGTTAAAAATGCAAATTCCCTCACCTTCGGATGACCCGGTCTGGAAGAAGTTTCTTCCAGCCACAGCACAGTTCTGTTGATAATAAAGGACTGACGTTTGTAGAGCGCTTAATTCTGGGGCAGGAATTCATAGACTCTCTCTTTCGTATACCCGACACCTCTGTGAAGTGGGCACAGTTAGAAGAAAGCAGAGCAGCTGAGCCCCTATTGCTGTATTACAGTTATTTATTTATCTGTGTGCTCCTCATTAAACTGACAGCACCACATCTGTGCTGCTTTCTATGGCTAGCACTTGGTAAAATGCCGAGACCTACAAGTTCATTGAATCAAGTGAATAAACAAATGAGTGAATGAATGTGATTCCCTAGGTTTGGCCCTCTATAAATCAACCTAAGTTAAAACAAAATTCCCAGTTTACAAAGTGAACTCTCTCAAACCTCTTGGAGAACCAACAAGTATCCTATAAACGTTCTGTGTCAAAAACCAGAAGCCTATTTTCAACTTGGCCTTGCCTAAGCAGTTTTCCAGAACATTCACTGCTTGGAACTTGCCCCCCAGCTCAGCATTACAGGGAAATCTACTGACTGTGAATTCTCTGGCTTAGGTCTCAGAAGAATGCAAGCCTTCATCCAAAAAATTATATATTTCAAAGGGGCAGGGGTCATGGGGGGGGGGGGGGGGGGCAATGTTGCTTCTTGTCTTCTTAAGTCCTGAAATTGAAATTCCTTTGGGGTTCCTGCTCTGCATGCTCTTTAGGGGAGACACTCACTTTCCTTTGAAATTGCCCAACCAAAAGCTAACTTAATGAAAGCACGGTTTAGTACAGTCTGATTATCACATCTCAGAGCTATTGAAACATCTCTCTTTCCAAATCCATATACATTTAAATAAGCTGCCATTAATCTGCTGCTCTTTTGCTCACCCCAGTTTAACCCTTTGCCTCTGTCACCAAAGCCAACTTACTCCTTTGATATGAATAGGAAATTAGGTCACAAAGTCCCCTGATGATGGGGAGGAGGATGAATGGAGTCAAACTGATTAGCCTCAGTTTCTCCAATCATTATCTGTAGCCTCTGCTCAGCTTCTCACGGGCTGACCAGTTAATCTTGGGTTGCCATCGCCAGAGCCCCTACTGGCACCTGTTGCCTGTGACTTGGCATCAGGCCATAGGTAGTGACATAGTATGGTATCTTCCCCAGACTGTGTAGGGGCCCTCTTGGTAGAATTCTCAACTTCTGGGTCAACTCTCTGCTGTTCCTACCATTTTAACAACTCCTTCCAAGGCTTCTCTTGCCATGGACACCAGGACTTCTCAACCTCAGCACTACTGGGGACTGTCCTGTGTGTTGTAGGATGTTTAGCAGCATCTCTGGCCTCTGCCTACTGGATGCCAGTAATGTCTCCCTTCCGCAACTGCAACAACCAAAAATGTCTCCAGATGTTGCCACTTGTGCTTCCAGCTGAGAACCACTGATCCACAATGACAGTGAGTCAGGCAACTACTAACTCATGAATCAAATGCTGATATGTATTTAAGACAGTGAAGAGTCCATTTCTGGACAGAGATTCACAAAATGGCACTCAGACCCTGCTGATTCTGATCACCAAGTTCTCTAGCACTGTCTGAGGGCACTGCCTCTCCAATTCCTAGCCCATCTGCAGGTGAGAGACATGGGCTGACAGAAGTCTGGCTGGGTGGCCCAGACACTGATAACGGTCCCAAATGGTTATGGTGGCCTCATTTTATTCCTCTCTCCCTACATCTTATCTGTGGCCTCTCTCAGAAGGTTAAAAATTTAAGACAGACAGGCAGTTGGGGATTCGTGACGGTAGGAATGCTAGATTTTAGGATGTATAGTATTTTGGCTTCACTAAAACTGATACTATCTTAGTCATGCTTATTTGACTGCAAGCAACAGAGACTCTTTCAAAAGTTTATGACCAGGGTGCACCAGAGCTAAATTAGGATGTTATTGGGGCCCAAGGGAGCCCAAGGACAGCCCATTTTTCTTTCTCTTATGGGTTTCATGGTTTCTCGCTCCTTCCTCTTTGCTCACATGCTACATTTTTCTGCTCTCTCTCTATACTAGCTTCCTCTAGTCACAGTTTCTGCTCCCCTTGGACTTGAGCTTGCACGTGGCTTTGACTTTGGTCTTACAAGGATATGTCAGAGGGTGAGCCTTGTTTAGCTTGTAAGATTATTTTGGATTTGAGGAACCTTAAGTTTGGGAATGAGCCACTGTCCTCAACAGGTACTCCTAAGAAAGCCTAAAGAATTGTTTGTTTTTGTAAAGCCAACTGAATCACATTGTGATTACTGAGAAAGTTAAAAAAAAAAAAATTTCAGTGTGTGATTATACAACTGTACACCAGATGGCCCCATGTGCCCACGATTTTAAAGGCTAAAGTCAATTGCTGAGGAGGATTTCTACATTTGAACTATCTTTTCTTGTTGATTGATCACTTCTGCAATAACTGACAACATGATCATAAGATTGATCAGCTTTTGCTGAAAGCAGTTTGGCCTTCCGCATGCAGCGGGCACAAGTTTGAATGCAACATTTCTGGAGCCATGTTTCTTTAGCTCATTGTTACTGCAATGATGGTCATTTTCCTCCCCAACATGCACACAAACATCCCAACAATTCTGCATAACTTGCTTTAACTTACGTCATCATTCCTTGGGAAATTAAGCCTCATGTTTTGATGCCAAATTCCTCATGCTAAGGAGACCTGGGAAGCTTCCTGGCTATTCTGAGAAACTTCTCATGGAAGATAACCAATAAGGAAGAATATTGCAGAGGATTCTGGGGAAAACTCTTTCTGGTCAATGTGACCTTACATAGGGCGGTGTGTTTATATTTTATTTATTCATTCAAATACACAAATGAAAAAAATTATGCTGGTCTCTGAGAGAAACCAAGAAAAATGAAACACTCCTTATTTCCAGAAATCAGTCAATTAGGATAAGACCAACAGACACAAGGCACTATGGCATGAGGGTTCTAAGAGTCCGTCAAATCGGAGACCTATAGGTCTGCAGAGATTGGCAGGGTTTTGGGGAGGGTTTCCTATAATTTATCTTTGGAACCCAATTCAGCTAATGTCACTTACAAGCTGTGTGTGACAGCAGCCAAGTCATTTACTTTTCCTTATTCCATTATTATCAGTCCAATTTTTACAGATGAGGAAACTGGGGTGCAAGGAATTTAAGTAACTTGCCCAAGGTCACTGGGTGAGCAAGAGCCAGCAGGAGCTGGGATGAAAATCCAAATAAGGGCCTTAGCCCCAAATTCATGCTCTCAACCAACTGCCCTGTGTGCCTTTTCAGGTCAGGGGGTCCCCAGTGCTGGTCCTCAGATGGGTGCCACAGGGTTTTTCACTCCTCCATGGGAAAGTGAGAAAAATAAAGTAAAAGAAATGAATTTTTCATAAAGCTAAAGATATTCCACTTAAACATATGACCTTTTCTTTTCTATGAGATTACATCTGTCCTTTTATTCTCTGGTGATCTATTTTTTTCCTTTTTCCCCAACATATTTTATTACATAATATTTCAAACATCCAGAAAAGTTGACAGAAGAGTACAATGAATTCCATATTACCCCCGTCACATACACACCTAGATGTAACAATTGATCTATTTCTGCCGTATTTGCTTTAAAGAGAGAGATTCTGTTGTGTGGGCTCAACCATTTGAAAGTGAATTGCTGACATGGAGGCAGTCGACCCCTGAACACTTCAACAGCTGTCTCCTAAGAATAAGGACACTTTTTTCCATATCCTCAATATCATCGTCACACCTAAGAAAATTAAGGATATCTCCATTACATCATCTATTATACTCAAATTGTCATTTTGGATTTTTTTTAAATTAAGATATAATTTTCTTACCATAAAATTCACCACCCTTTAAAAGTGTAAAAGTCAATGGTTTTAATATATTTACAGAATTGTGTAACTACTGTGTAATTTTAGAATATTTTCATCAACCCAAAAGGAAACCATTAGCAATCATTCTTCATTCTCCCTTCCCCTCAGCCCCTGGCAACCATAATCTACTTTCTGTCTGTAAGGATTTGCCTATTCTGGGCATTTCCTATCAAAGGAATTATACAACATGTGGTCCTTTGCGTCTGGCATCTTTCACTTAGCATAATGTTTTTGAGGGTCATCCATATTGTAGCATGTATCAGTACTTCATTCCTTTTTAAGCCTGAGTAATATTCCATTATATGAATATGCCACATTTTATTTACCCATTCATCAGTTGATGGACATTTGGGTTGTGTCCACTTTTGGGCTACTATGAATAATGCTGCTATGAATGTTCATGTACAAGTTTTTATGTGGACATATGTTTTCATTTCCCATGGGGATATACCTAGGAGTAGAATTGCTGGATCATATGGTAGTCTATGTTTAACAATTGTAAAATATCTTTTATAGCTTATTTTTCCCCCCGAACCAGGAGCCGTTTGAGGTTTATGCATTGTACTTGGTTCCTTGTCTCTTTGGTCTCATTTAATCTGGAACAGTGCTCCCACCTTTTTTCCTCATGATGCTGACATTCTGAAGAATCCAGGTAATGTCATCTGAACCTCTTTTCTTGATTTTTCTGACTGCTCCCATCTGATACAATTTAAATTCTTCCTTTATCCCTGTTTCTGCTATAACCTGGAAGTAAGTCTGGAAACTCTATTAGGTTCCTGGCAAAAATATAATTTTTAGATGATGTATATTATTTCCTACTTTTTTAGCGTTAAAATGTCAGGGCCAGCCCTGTAGCTGCGTGTTTGAAGTTCCACGCACTCAGCTTCGGCGGCCCAGGTTCGTGGGTTTGGATCCCAGACACGGACCTACACCACTTGTCAGCCACACTGTGGAGGCATCCCGCATAAAACGTGGAGGAAGATTGGCATGGATATTGGCTTGAGACTGGTCTTCTTCAAGCAAAAAAAAAAAGAGGAAGATTGGCAATGGATGTTAGCTCAGGGCAAATCTTCCTCACCCCAAAAAATAAATAAAATCTTATCTTTTATGAAAAGATAGTGACAACAGGATTTTTTTTGTTTGCCCGTTTCATTTTTAAAACATCCTTTTGTGACACAATTATAAAGTTGATAATCTCAGTATTATGTACCTCACTAAAAACAATGCACAAATAACAATAAAAATGAACCATAAACCAAAGCCTTTCTCTATTGCATGAAATCTAAAAGATTAGGGTCCCCTAAACTGGGTAACTTGTAAACCTTTACAGCCATAATAGGCTAAGAACTGATTCCCTGAAGCATCAGAAGGAGAGAGTGATTCTGTTTTATTCTGAAAATTCTCAGAAGTAATAATACACATTTTCTCCTGGGCCACAGGTAGGCACTCTCCCCTGCTGAGCACATCACATCTATTGCAGCGACTTCTGGAAATTAGACCGTTGAGTTTGGAAACTTCACTTGTTTAATTTATATATAAAGACCCCAAGCTTCGATGTAGCTTTCGTGTATAATTGCTAACTTGCCAACACTCACGAAATTCTATTTCAGCCTAACCTCATTCCTAGCTCCTTTCTGCCCTGCAGGGAGGAGAGTCACCCTCTGGGGGGCGGGGGCAGTCGTGTTGCCCCCAGTCACTTGAAAATTGTCGTGAGGAGTCCATTCTGTTTAAAGTCTTCCACCACCTGTTTAGAGTGTCTTATTTTGGCAGCCAAAGCTTCCAAGATGTCGCTCTGATCCACAGCTGTCGCGATCTTGCCAATGAATTCTTCCAAAGACTCCAGGCCCTGGAGCCCAAGATTCACCCCAGATCCTGCCAGACGTGCACATGTAAATGTACCAGAAGGGGGGACATAGAGAAAAGAAAAGGAAAAAGAAGTAATGACTACAAAGCCCTCAGCACAGTGCCAGGCACGAAGCCAGCTATTATTACTGAACGTTATATCATGAACTGTTAGCTATCATCATTGTTGTTACAGGTGATTAGAACCAGACTGTAAGAACTTTAAAATTCAACCATGAAGCACAACTCTGACTTTAGATCAGACTTTAAAGCATATGCATAATTCTACAAAGCTTTTTCGGAGCATGCTAACATACATCACTATGTCAAACACATAGTGGTGGGTAATATTAGCCCCACTCTACAGAAGAGATAACTGAGGCTCAGTTTAGCAAATACAGCATAGATCTGGCAAATGATAGAGCAGAGACCACTCCCAATTCTCTCAGTTCTGAAGGCGGTATTGTTTTCTGAATCACCTGACTGTCCTGTCGCCCAGGTTTTGCACAGGAAATCTGAACTTGTCAACCTAATGAACTGTGTTGATTTGCACTTGTGGAATCTCCCAGCAGATCGGTGGTGAATTCTTTAAGAAAGTAACGAACACCACACTCTCCCTAACATCCCTAGCACGGCCTCTCGCTCTCACCCACAGCTTCTGCATAAAGCCTTGTCTTCAGTGGGCACCTTGATCAGAGCGAGCTATTTAAAATGCACATCTAAACAGCCACTCCCCAACATGAAAATCTTTTCCTGAGGCTATAAAATATATTCGTGGTGGCCATGGTGGCTTCTGGATTAGAGAACATTCCAGAGTAGTAGCAGTGAGTAATGAGAGGCGGGCCTTCTCTGTATATACTTTGAAACGCATAATTTGTGCATGAATTATGCATTTAAAAAAAATAATTTTTAACTAAACGCATGAATAAATACATAAATAAGTCATTTGCTGGGCTCCCCCATTCCAGACCTTTACTACCACAATGGTATTGAGTTCAAGTTCTACAGCCCAATCTTTTGTGAATGGTCCAAGCCCCACTGGAAATTGGAGGTGAAATAAAGGTTCAAGTGCAGTTCTGTCAGACTCTAGGACCCTGACATCTTCACCTCCCTCCTTACCTCACACACACACACACACACATACACACACACATACAGCAGTGAAGAATAGACCCCACTCACTCTGAACCTTTTTTTTTGAGGAAGGTTAGCCCTGAGCTAACATCCACCACCAATCCTTCTCTTTTTGCCAAGGAAGACTGCCCCTGAGCTAACATCCATGCCCATCTTCCTCTACTTTATATGTGGGACGCCTGCCGCAGCATGGCTTGCCAAGCACTGCGTAGGTCCAAGTCCAGAATCCGAACCAACAAACCTGGCTGTCAAAGCGGAGTGCGAAGTTAACTGCTGTGCCACTGGGCTGGCCCCAAAAGCAGAACTTTTTATTTTGTTTAGGTAAATAAATATATAAGGACAAAGAGGGCGGGAGAGAAGATTACAGAAAGAACATTTTGGAATCTGGAAAGCAAAAGAAGCATATGTGGTGTAATTTCTTGGAGAAGGTTTGGCTCAAGCAGCAGAACACCCAACTTAATAGAGGTTTAAACACGTGAGGTTTATTTCTCTCATATGAATATGGAACTGGGGAGTAAAGACTAGGCATGAGAGTTCCATAAAGTTGTCAGGGACCTAGCCTCTTTGTACCTTTCTTCAATTCCCTGTATGTGACCCTCATCTCACGGTCCAAGATGGCTGCTTGAGCTCTGTGCATCACATCCATTTTCCAGCTGGCAGTAAGGAGGAAAGGTGGATGAGACAGGCATGCACCTCACTTTAAAGACACTTCTCTTTTAGGTTTTTATCCCATGTCTTTCATCCAAGATATCATTCTCTTTTAAAGAGAGATATTATCCAGGTTTAGTAAGCTATTTTAATATCTATCTTTATGATTAACCAGAGCTTAGGGAATCAACATTTCTTACACAAATGCTGTACTTGAAATTTCCTCAGCTTTGGAGTCAGAAACACCTAGCACTGTGCTAAGCACTTATTAGGAATGCTGGCTCTGAGATTTCCAGTGGGGCTTGGGTAAGCATCTTAACTCTGACCTTCATTTCTTCCACTGAAAACATAAGGATGATCTATTTCCTTCCTCTTTCAAGCTCCAAATCTCCTTCTTTTAATGTTCTCCTAGTCTTCTCATCTTTGCCCTTCTCTTTGTCCCTGATCCCTTTTACATCTCTAATCACCGCTAAAAATAGCCCTATAATCCAGCTGGAGGCAGCATAAGTGGATGCTTAATGCCGGTGTGCCAGTCTGGCTCTGCCACTAGCTGGGTAAGTGAATTAGACCTCAGTTTCCACATCCGGAGAATGGGGGTAATGTTAATGCCTGCCTCTTGGGGGTGAGTAAAGATTACATGAAATAATGCCTGCGAAGTGCTTAGAGCAGAGGCTTCAGCATAGTAAATATAAACTAACTGGGAACAAATAATATTATATTGCAGGCATTGTGCTAAAAGCCTTATGTGGATTATTTAATTATCACAAAAACTCTACGAAATCAATGCTGTTATTTTCTCCATTTTGCCAGTGAGGTAGTGAAAGGCAAGTAACTTCCCCAATTTAATCTCAGATCACAAGTAGTGGGACCTGGGTTTGAACCCAGGCCATCTGCCTCCACAGTTACTGTCCCATCCCCTACTCTCCAGCACCAACCTGAATCAGCTGTTATGCTAAAGGCAGTTAACTCAGTTATTGACCTTTCTTCAGGTTTTTGGATCAACTTAAAACCATTAAGAAATTACTGTGTTCGTTTTCTGTGCCAAGCAAAGAAAAATCTCTACCAGTTTAAAGAAACGGAAAATAACAACCAATATTATTCAGCTCTTACTAAGCGCTTTAAATGCAAGAACTCATTGAATCTCACAACATCCTATGAGAAGTATACCATTCATGGCCCCATTACATGGTTGTGAAAATAGAGGCTGAGGGGGTTAAATATTTAGTAGCAGGTGGCAGAGGGCTGGTGCCCTAACTCATACCACGATGTCACGTGCCTCTGAAAACATGGTCCCTGCCCTTAAGGAATTTAATAACCTGCCCAGGAAGATAGACAGCCCCTTGACCCTGCTTGTGCTACTCATGTCCCTGCTCCCTCGCACCTCCCCGCCCACTTCCACGCTCAGGGGAACATTCTAAACAAATACTCAGAGCCCGCCCTGTACAGCCGCTCACCCGTGTCAAAGTTGAGCACTCGAGCTGCCTCTCCCTCCACAGTGACTACCCTGCCTATGCCCTGGATGTAGGCAGCTGTGGCCCGCCGGTGGGACAGCGTGATCTCAAACAGCCTTCTGCTGCACTGCACCCGGGACATGGCGGCGTCCCTCACGCGGGGCTCGATGTCCATCTTGTAGGCGTTGAACGCTTGGTGGAAGATGGTCTTCATGACCTACAAGGAGGGGGCCAGAGACGTGAGAAGCGGGCTCTCCGCTTCCGGAAACCCATCATACAGACGGACCAAAACACTTTCTGAGCACGATTTCAACAACAAACCAGGAAACACCATTGCTGCTGGTGGAGGATGGGCGTGATGATGACGCAGTCACTTAGAATTTCATTTGTAAAGGGTTAATAATAAAGAAAATGCTGAGGTAGAATCTATATTTGGTTCTTAAAGAAACTGAAACAAAAATTATAACTATTTTCATGAACCCCTACCTGAAATTTAGCATTTCCCTCCAGTGTGAATGGAGTCACAGGACTACCCATGACTTTGTCTCCAATAAAAACCATGGATATTTTTCAAACGACGTTAAGGTTGTTGCAGAAATCTCAAAGCACGGTTTATGCTTATCACTTCTTTGAAATTAACTGTCACCTCATCTTATTTCATGAATTATTAAAGAAGCACAGATATTCTAATATCACAAATTTTTTGAAAATATTTTGATAACTGTATTTCAATTCTATCAGTTTTCTTCATCAACCCATGTATTTTATTTTATGCATTTAAAAACATAATCCTGAGACGGGGTCTATAAAATTCATCAGACTGCCAAAGTGCTCCATGGTGCAAAAGAGATTAAGATTTTATGTAAATTTTATGTAAATAAAATTGTTTCTAAGTGTCCTTCCTATGAAGAAACAATGCTATGAAGCATAGGCTGCTTTTTCTGTCCTCATTCTTGAGATGATCTGAGACAGAGAGGGTAAGCAACTTTCCAAAGATCACACAACTTGTCTTTGAAATAGGCCCCAACTCTTAATTAGAATGTTAAGCTCCCTCTAAAGATATGGTCCCTGCCCTTAAGGAATTTATCATCTGCTGAGAAAGAAAGATTTGTTCTGCCTGCCTTACTGCCTCCTGCACACAATTCTACTTCCTTCTCTACTCCCACCCCGAGGGAAGTTTCTGTATTTGTTATCACATCGCAAAAAAAAAAATAAAGGTAGATGGATTTTCATTGAATTCAAGTAGCATATGGTTTAATCTGTCTAAGACTCTCTTTGGCAGACCTTAGCTGAAAAGGACACCTAAATTAACTTTTCTTGTGTATGGATTAATTTGGCCCAGAATTTTAAAGATTTTATGGATTAGCTGGGAGATATGCTGCATATACCCATTAAATTTTGAGGTGACCGATTTGAGAAATTTTCTCCTATAGTCACCTATAGACATTATTTTAGGGGGGAAAAAGTCACCTACAGCCTATAAAGAACACATCTCTATTTCATAGCACCAAAAGTTAAAGCAAGAAGAAAAAAAGAGGAATTTGAGAATAATCTGAAAATGAATTTTATCAGGGATGCTAGCAAGTAAAAGGGATTTCCGAGGTGAAGAATTTCCACTGGTGAATTAGGATTCATGCTGGTGCAGACTCTGGGATACCCACCAATAGCCATTCCCCTCCTCCTTGCTAAAGAAACCCTGAGTTTATCTGGCAGCAATGTGCACTGCCCCAAGAATTAAACCCCTATTGTCCAAGTGAATCAACGCAACCCATTCTCTCTGCTAGTGATTGGTCAGTGGGTAAGTGTGTAACCTAGCTTTGGCCAGTGAGATGTTGGGGAAGTCTTCTGGGACTTTCTGGGAAGATTTTCCTTCCTGAAAAGAGAGAAGCTTTGGAAAAGAAAGCTTGCGTTCTACTTGGAACTCTGTACTATCAAGACATGGTGCTTAGAATTGAGGCTGCCATCTTGGGAGCATGATGGAGACGTTGCTGACATACTAAAGCTAGCAGGACAGATAAATAGAAGAGAATCTCGGTCTTGGATGACATTGAGTCACAGTAATAAATCAGTGTCCTTCTGGTTGGGGCCACTTTGATATGACTACACAATTTCTTGCAGTCAAGTGCACCCTCACAAGGTATGCATGCTCACTCCCTTGGTGTAAACCAAGATGGCCTGGAGAAATGGTCTTTTAATGCATATAGTTTGTCTCTCCAGATCAACAGCGAAACATCCCACACGCTAGACGTGGGTTTCAACTGACCTTGGAAAAGCACTTTCTAAGCAGCAGGCACACCAGGGTCGAACACAGCACATTTCAGTAGGATATGGTCAAATGGAACCAGTTCTTAGCCTCTGACATCATTGATGCTCCAGATCTCTTTCAATTGTCTGGAGTAACCAAGGTCTGATTTGTAGTGGTCATCAATAAGTCAAGGCTGTTTCTCCTATTATAGCCTTCCTTGTGATCAACTTTAAGCGGTGTACTAGGATGAAGAGCAGAGGGATGGGACTGAAATCCTAGACATGGCCTATGTTGGCCTACATGATCTGGCTCCTCCTTGCTTGCCCCTCTCCAAATGCAGCTGCTGCCACTCGACCCTTTCTCTTTGCCCTGTGACCACAGTGGTTTATGGCCACCTAAATGCCTTCATACATGCTGTTCTCTCTGACAAAATTGCCCCCTGTTCCTCCTGGCCCTACTTAAGACCTGAGCCTTGTCCCTCATGGCTCAGCACAAATATAGGTTCCTCAAGGAAGCCTTCCCAGCCCTCCAGAACTTTCGTTATAGCTCATTTAACATCCTATATGTCTCCTTGTGGCACTTACTTTTAGTTAAAAACATTATAAGTGAGTTAGTCATTTAACATCTTTTTCACCCAATAGAATGTTGGTGACATTAGGCAGGGACAATGTCTTAGTCATCACTGTATCCCTAGAGCTTGACATAGAGCCTGACACATAGTAGGTACTCAGTTAATACATGCCAAGTAAATGGCTGCTCTCCAAAGAGAAGTTAAAATGATGCAGGCACTGCGTCACCAAGAATACTCTCAGATGCCATTAATGAGTCGCAGCTAGAAGCTGCTTATATAGTTAGGACAAAACTCTCTCTCATGACCAGGACACCTGACTTAGAGTGGGTTCAGTGCTGGTAATTTAAGGACCCAGGTTCTTCTTATCTTTTAATTCAGCTGTTCTCTTCAGGGCACTGGCTTATCTTCTTGCGCTGGCTCCATTTATAGTTCCACGATTGCTGCCACAGTTCCAAAGTGAGGAGATAATATCCAGAGGCAGAAAAAATGGAAGTCCGTTTCTAGTGCTCCTGTTCAAGAACGAAGGAAATCTCCCAGAGCAACCCTCCTTGGTCAGAAGTGTGCCACACACCCATCCTCGAACTGATCATTAACGAGGGGCATGGCATTCTGATTACCATGTTAGAACAAACGAGATTCACCCTGAGGAAAGTGAAGGGCCAAGTGCCATCTGTCTTCTGTCCCATGAACGCAATCATGACTGTTTTAGTAAGGAAGAAGCTGGGTGTGTGTGGATGTGTGGCGCTGGTGCTCGGAATGAGGAGGAGAGTTTGACAGGCATCCAAGAATGCCTGCCACCCACCCTCAGTGTGCAGGAAATTCATTAGAATAAATGTTGGCATCAAAAATATAGCATGCAGCCAAGGGAGAAAAGTGTAATTCTGAAGAAAAAAATCATGATATGAAAATGTTCAATAATGAATTCAGCACCTAAAAAACACCCACCCTTTAAACATTTCTTCCCCCTTAATAGTAACTTCTATTTCACCCCCACCCATCATTAATATCTTTTTGATTAAGCTGACTGATAGTCAACTGTAGTGAACATCTAACGTGATAACACAAATGCAATCGATGTAAGTTGATTACAAAGCGGAATTGCAAATAGTTCCAAAAGTGTGGGCTTTTATAAAATCGATGTGGGTGATTTCAGACAACCACTTCAACTGCAGGCAAAGGAACTCACAGAAGTACACCAGTTAACAGTTCAGTTGGATAAAGGATGATGGGAGGCACTTAAAAAGTATATTTGGATTAAAGGGCTAGAAAAATGGCACTGTTAAAAGATTCATGAAGTTCTTGAATGTTGTTTTTGCAGATGAGACTTTCTTTATGTTCCTAATGTGCAAGTCAATTGTGAAGGGCAAGGTCTATAACACTATCAAATAATTTTGCAGGAAAAATGAACCATCCCCTCCAAAAATAAATGAACATTTGATTCACTTTTTATTCTAAGATTCAGCAAAGCTGCTATTACGGCCCACATTTGAATACATAGCACATAAAAGAAACTTATTCTCATAACTTATAGCTACAGTTTTCCCTCCATTTATAACACAATTTTGGTTACCTTGTAATGAAGCTTAAGGCCTTACTTTAAGAGAGCAGATGATCTTGAGATAATAAGGACCTCCAGTATGTTAAAATGATGATTATAAAGATTCTCTAGAAACATGGATAATTCTTTATGATATGATGCTAAGTAGAAAAAAATGGGACACCAAAGACTACACATGATAATTGTAACCATGTAAAAATATTTATGTATTTGGATAAGAATTGAAGGAAAAATAAAAGTGTGTGCATATGGGGGAACTAAGGCTAATTCCCTTCCTCTCTTTTCCTTTTATTTCCCAAATATATTTTATTCCAATAATTTTTTGTTAACTAAACAATAAGCCCAGAAAAACAATCCAATATGTTTTTGAACTATTTAGAGTCATAGCAATGCTGTGTGTTGATTAAGGACATCTCCGACTTAATGCTCACAGGGTATGAAAGGCAGTCTTTAAGATCGCCCCCAGTGATCCCCATCTCCTGGTATTCATGCCCATGTGTAATATCCACCCCTTGAATGTGGACTTGATTGATCAACTCTCTTCTAATGAATCCAATATGGCAGAAGAAATGGGATGTCACTCCAAGATTAGGTCATAAAAAGACTACAGCTTCTATCTTGGGTGTTCAGCCTCTCTCCCTCTTGCTCACTCATGCTGAGGGATGCCATCCTCCATGTTATAAGCTGCCTTACAGAGAGGCCCATGTGCAAAGATCTGGTATCTCCTGCCAAGAGTCACATGAGCGAGTTTGAAAACAGATTCACACCCACATACACACACACACAATGGCCCCAGTTAAGCTTTGAGATGACTGCAGCCTTGTGAGAGACCCTGAGCCAGAGGTAACCAGCTAAACCACACCTGAATTCCTGACCCACAGACATGGTGACATCATAAATATTGTTGTAAGGCACTAACTTAGGGGTTATTTGTTACACAGCAATAGATCATTAAT